TCCCAAACATAGTAACAGCACATTATCGTAACATAATTTCTGCCAAAGCTCGACTTTCAATCTCACTGTGGCTAGGAAATGTTTCTTTTCTTTTAAACTTTCCTAGGAGAACAACAAAAAAGAGAAAAGGACAGCAGCTGCTGCCACTTAAGGGAGGAGACAGCAATACAAAAGCCCTTTCACCAGCAAATTTCTGAACTCCCTAACCAGGCCTCCCACCAGTATCTATTTAAGTTCCTGCTGCCAGGAATCCTAGACCCAGCTCCAACAGAGGTAATTGGTCCCACCACAGTCGCCACACTTCTAACGGCCGCCCAGCTCTTAGCCACTGTCACAGACTTTTTAGTCATAATAGTTGGGTCTAGTAGAATCCTCTACATTCTATTCCTTGTCATGAGAGAACAAGCTTTAGTAAAAAACATAGGTCTCAGGTTGTATGCAGAACATTCTACTTTAAGTTAGAAAAAGGTTGTTGGTTTTTTAAACTTAAATGAATAATAATTAAAATAATTAAAATATTCAGAGTTCTGCCAAAGCAGACAGATGCTCCAGAAACATTTTCCCTCTTAACAATAAGGTTAGCCTGGATTGGAATTCCCCACCGTTTCCACTGCACAAATGTACTCATCCTCTGTCCACCTAACTAAGGCAGGCCAGGAGCCAATCTCCAAGTGGGTGATACAGGAACGGGACACTAACATTTCCCCATAATAAGAAGGTAATCATTTTCTCTTAAGGAAAATGTAATCCCTGTTTTCCCTCCCATAGTTCATGAATGGTGATTTATCTTGTTGCAGCAGCTGTCCTTCCATATTCATTCATTCCAAGTCCTTTCACTGAAACATAAATTTCAAACCTGAGACTATGATTGAGATTCTAGGAGTAAACACAGCACTAATAAATTTAGAAATCTGCTCTTATCTTAATGAAAAACATGGTCTTCCCAAATAAGTAGAGTCTGAAAGGGAAAACATTCTTACTGGGTTGCATTTTACCAACAGCCAAAAACTGAACCAAACTAATCTAGACTGATAAAACATCCCATTATTATACACACATCAGAGGAACATACCTCAACTAAACACTGCTTCAACCTGTTTCTATTAACAATTGGCCAAACATTTTTCTAGACATTACCTTAGTTTTAAAAATTAACAAAAAGCTGCAACATTTTATTGGTGCTCAAGTAATAAATAATTAACTTGATGGATACCCATCAGCCAAGAACACTAGGCTTAATTCACTCCACAAATCTACAGGACGGATGCTTAAGATTCTATTCTGCTTAACTTTGAGGCTTACAACAAGGCATCCAAGAACATATTTGAAATAAGAAAGAGATGAATGCTAAGAAGCATGTCAGGCAAATCAAAACCTACATGTGAAATTACACATGCTTCAAAAATATTTAGTCCATTAAACATTTTTGTTAAACCTACTTTAAAATCCTCACTGCAGATCTTAAGGAAAGAAATTAAAACGGAGAATCTTAATCAGAGCTCTGGGGATTGGCTCCCTAACAAGACCGACTTTCCAAATTATTTTTCACATAACACTGTACCCTTCCAGACCTCAAATGGAAGAACAATCATGTGGGCATGGATTTGTCAGAACAGTTCACTAATACCCAGAGGCCTCTCCAGGAAAAGCATATGATACAGTGAGAGATTATCAGATGAGTCAAATGACTGTCACTCCCCACTGCAATTACATGTTACCTCCCTGCAAATCCAATTAGCAAAATATGTACAAAATCCAGAGCTAACAGGGCTATAAATTTCATGACATAGTTTAGGCAGACCATAGAATTTCTGTTTCTAAAAAAAAAAAAAAACCCCAAAAACTACTTTTGAGGGTATGTTTCAAATATAAATAGATTTAAAGAGAAGAAAAGGAAGGATTTTAAAAATAAATTCAGATTGCTGGCTATGTTCTTGGTCTGTTGAAAACTATATAAATATTTGACAACTTTTTTTCGGCGGGTGGGGGCAGCTGGCTCAAAAGGGGATCTGAACCCTTGATCTTAGTGTTATAAGGCTGTGCTCTAACCAACTGAGTGAACTGGCCAGCCCTTGACAATGTTGAAATAGGTAAAACTTGACAAAAATAAGGTTATATTACCTAATTAACTCTAGTAGTTTAAAGTTAAGTCAAAGGCAAGAAGCAAACAGTTAAATTGGCAGTCTCTTGATCTCTAGAGCCAAAGCAGTCCTGCACAGGCAGGCCCATATCAATTAGCCCAATATTAAATGCATCACTGTTAAACAAAGAGAACCTAGTGGAAATGGGCAATGAGCAGAGAGTGAAGTTCCAGGAAAGTGCTAACCTGACCCGAGCCAAGCCACCTCCAAATCACATTGAGTTTTAGTGCTGTCTCCGGAAGGGTCCTCAGTGTTGTTTCTAAACTGCCCCTACTTTTCTTCATCTGACAGACACGTCTACACACTTCTACCCTGTCTTAGAAATTAGACAAACTCCAAACAAAAATTTAGGATACCTAATTTTAACATTTCTACTACACAAAACATAACTGATTTTTCCTAAAGGATTCTACATTATGATACCAATCGTCTTGCCAGGAATCTCCAAAATAACTTGGACTGATAATTCTACTGCCCAAAAATACATCTTATAATCATACCAGTCCAATGTATAAATATTTTATCACTTTTTATTCTATTCCAAAAAGCATACAAACAAATCTACCATAGACTACGTATTTTCCTCTGTAACACAAAGACCACAGAATAAATGACTTAGAAATTTCCAGCTTCTCTCTCACCTTTAATTCTCAATATTTATATAAATACATAAGTTCCTTATGCACTTACCAACACCACTGCCCATAATCCCAATACCTCCTCCACCCTCCCACTAAATTACTACTGGAAAAGTCAGGCACTGCCATTCAGCTCTGAAAACTACCAGGGATCTATTTCAGGATACCACCTTGTTTGGTGGTTGTTTCTTCCTTTTTTTTTTTTTTCTTTTCTTGGTAGTAAAAATATCCCAATTCCTTAAATTTGTAGGCGAAAAATACTAGCTTCTAAATGATTCCTTAAAAAGCAACAATAAAAATACTCTTTCACTTGAAAGAAAAAACCCAAAAGGCAGTGTTCACATAATTTAAGTCATGTAAGGAATGTAAATTAAGACGTTGGTTCTATTTTCTGTCTCAGCTTTAACTTGTAACAGTTCTTTATAGGCTTTTGAAACCTACTTTGGAAAAGAAAAAAAGAAGTCGTAATACATCATAGTTTCAGCTTCAGTTATTAACTTTTGGGTATTTTTCTATGTTGACATTGTACCCGAAAATTATAATTTATATTAGACAATATGACCCCTCTGCCCCCCCCCCCAAAAAAAGACGTCCTTAATCTTCGGATGAGTGATTACCAGATGCTGTTGATTATGCTATTATCTTTTGAATTAAACTAATTATGGATATTTTAGATGAGTGATCTATATAATCTGCAGATTTTATATATCTAACGCATGCTAGTGGTATATAATCAAATATAACAAAAACACTATAACCTCCAAAATAACTTATTTCTAAGACAACAGTTATATTTTTCATGTGCTATGCACCTATTAGATGTGGGCAGAGGTACTAGTATGGGTGCTGACTGAAGAATTTTTATTATTTTTATATTTGTTGTGGTATTATTGAATATAAAGTTTTAATGTAATAAAAAGGTCTCTTTTAGAATGAAATGGCTTATAAAGTAAACATCGATGAGATTAATACACAAATAGAGCCCCAACTATTGCTGATAAGTGCTGTGGTTACCCAGTTTCCTACTATTTCCACTGCCATACTCAGAGAGCAGGACATTCAAAGCCAAAATATTCGTTAATTTACTCATTTATTCTTTCAACATTTATTGAGCAGCTTCTATGTGCCAGGCACTTTTTGCTAGGCATGAAAATAGAAAACATATAAGCTAAAAGCCTGGCCTTGAAGGTTCACACTCCATTGGGAAGACTGACACTTAACTACAAAATCTGTGCAGCTAGAGTACGGTAAGCACAAAATGCAAAACAATATACATTCTAGCATGAACTCACCGTTTGGAGGTCCCACTTTTAGAACCTTATTCTAAGTGAAAGACTATCATTAAATAAAGCAGGGTTACCACTTCCAAAAGATATTAATAAATCTAAGACATGCCAAGATCTTCCCCATTTATTTCACTTTATTCTCACAGAAATCTTGCAATAATTTTGAGTATCCCATCTTATAGATGAAAAAATTAGTTTTAAGAATTCACAGAGGCGTTTAACAATTCCATGTCTAAGATGCACCTTTCTATCAATTATAACAAAAAGATATTTACAAACTAGCTATTTCACTAGCTCTACTTTCTATCATCCAAAGAAGTAATTCACTTGTCCAAGATCATGAATTAAAAACTGAAAGAGCCAGGATTCCAAGCCAGGTGTTTTCAGTTCAACATTCCACTACCCTACATCTACCTCGCAAGCAAAACCTGGAGAAAGCACTAAGTAACACAGTTCATATTTTAGAAGTTTTAGCACATAATGTTCTCTGTGTGCATTGCATAGGTTTATAGGTGTGCATTAACCTCTGGATGGCATGCCAGGTGGTGGTGGTAGCTGTTCTAAGTATGAGTCTGCAAATACACCAGCTTGGAAAACGTCAAAGGGCTTCTCAAAGTTACAACAAAACCGCAGTGATGCTTCCAATAACAGAGTGCAAGCTTAAGAGATCAGTATCAGTGGCAACAACTTCAATTTTTCTCTGTACTTCTTCTCTTTTTTATGCCCACTTAATCATTAAGGCTCCCTTGGTTCCACCTTCAAGGCTTACTATTCATAAAGACACATACATACAGCTAAGGGTCAAAAAAACACGCACATGCACTTCTGTACTGAGCCCTATCAGAGATCAACTGAGAATAGTGAAGGAACTATCACAGGGCAGATGTGAGAAAAATGAAAGGGGATATCAAGCAATGTAATAAAAACATATTTACCAGTTTCTTCATCTATCTTGAATACACCGACACCAGAACCATCTCTAATGGAATATCGGATCTCCCCATCTCTTCCTGTGTCCTCGTCATGAGCTAACACCGTCATTACTGATGAACCAACAGGAACATCTTCTTTCACGACACCCTTTTCCACAAAGCTGGAAAACACTGGTGGGTGTAAGTTCTCATTCACGTCAATGACCTCAATTTCAATATAGCAAGTGGAAGACAGGGAAACTGGCTTCCCTTTGTCTTTGGCCCTCACAGTGAGATTATACACTTGCTTCTTCTCAAAGTCCAACTGCTGTACAATTCTAACTGCTCCACTGAGTTTATCCACATCAAAGTTTCCTTCTCCACTGTCCATAAGACTGTATCTCACTTGACCAGACTGACCTAGATCAGGATCATAGGCTTCTAACCACATGATTATGGTTCCTTCTGGAAGATCCTCTCGAACTTTCACACGGTAATTAGGTGGAATAAACTTAGGTGGGTTGTCATTAACGTCTTCTAGTGATACTTTCAAAAGTACAGTGGAAAACAGCTGGGGTTCTTCTTCAGCTTGATCTCTGGCTTCAATCTTTAAGTAGTGCACATGCTGTACTTCACGATCCAAAGGGTGGATAATTTTAACAACGCCAGTCATGCTGTCAATTGAAAACTTATCTGTGTCTGTAAGAATAGAGTATGTAAGTTGTCCATTGGGCCCTAGATCTTTATCTGTGGCTTCAACCTGGATGATTTCATTATTTATCTCCTTGTCTTCACTCACTTCAACAAAATAGCTCTCCTGTAAAAACTCAGGTTGATTATCATTGGCATCTAGAACTATGATGTCTAGAAGATGCCAAGCGGCCTTCTGTGGTATACCAAGGTCATACACAGTAATGTTCAAGGTATATTTGTCTGTTGTTTCACGGTCAAGTGGAGATAAAATTTTTAGCATTCCTGTTTCAATGTCAATAATGAAGCAACTATCCTCATTTCCTCCAGAAATAGTATAGACCAGTTTTCCATTGAAGCCAGTGTCAAGGTCAGTAGCATTCATGAAAATTATACTGGAACCCACAGGCTGGTTTTCCTTGATCTCAACACTAGTTGGAAGAGTACTTCTAAACTGTGGCACGTGAGCATTGACAGAGTGTGAGTCAAAGAAAATATCCTCAACTTCTCCCTGACTGTGTAATTTATTTGCCTGAAGGAGTTTTTCTGCCAGCATTTTAGCAACACCAGTCTCTTCACACTGCAAGTTTATAGGCTTGCGACTGGCAGCTACAGTCATGTTGATATATAATGGTGTGGCAAAATTCTCTCCGTCGGTAGCTGTAATTCTCAGACTCTGAAAAGACACCTTTGTACCTAAGCCATCCATCAGTGATTGCTTTAATGACAATACCCCAGAGTTGGGGTTTAAGCTAAACAAATTTAGTTCATTTCCAGCCTCAATCTGATATCGTACCAACTGAAGTTCATCAGCATCAATAGCAGAAACAGTAGTTATTTGCTCTCCCACACCTAGATCCCTGGGAATTGTTCCTTCACAATTTATTTTCTCAAACAAGGGTGTGTTGTCATTCAAGTTATTGAGAGTAATCGTGGCAAGGACTTCAACTTCCCGGCGGTATGGCAAGCCCCAGTCTGATGCCCGAATCCTTAGAGTATAAACCCGAGGCATCAGTTCATAATCCAAGTTCTCTGAAGTACTCACAGCACCAGTGAAATGGTCAATCACAAACGGCACATGATTTAAATTTGCAATACTGTAAGTCACGTACCCATTCTCACCCTCGTCAGGGTCTATAGCACTCACACTCATAACAGGAGTACCAATGGGCACGTTCTCATCAAAAGATGCTTTGTATGCTGTCTGAGTAAATTCAGGAGGATTGCTATTTGCACCTAAGACTTTAACCAAGACTCTGGTAGAGGCTCTTCTGTCACTTGTTGTTACTTCAAGTTCAAAATGAGATGCCTGCTGTCTTTTAATTGGTTCTAAAATGGAAATGAGACCGGTGTTATGATTTAAATTGAATTTAGCTTTTCCAGGTGTACTTTTAAAAACATACCTCAAATGGGAATAACTCGGAATGGCTTTTACCATGACCACAGGGGTGTAAGGGGGAGCAAATTCACTTATTTCTGCTCTGTAAACATCCTTTTCAAACTTGACTGGCCCAGCTTTGAACTGTGGAGAAGTCACATGAATTACTTTTACAGAAGAGAACTGGGGAGGAGTTCCTTTATCTTTAGCCTGTAATGTCAGATTGTAGCCAAAAGGATGACTGTCCCAATCAATGTCAACAATGGCCTTGACTTTATATTCTTTACTCCCGGGAAAGGATCGCACTGTTCTAAACTGCTGCAGAAGGTCACCTGCCACAATGCTTAAGGAAGCTATTTCCCCATTGGCTCCCTGATCACAGTCATCCACTGTTACAATTGCATACGTTGGGTCTCTGTCCAGTTCTGAGGGTGATAATGTTACTGCTGTTATCATGGGAGCACATTCATTGGCCTGTTCTACATGAACTGTTAGCTTGGCCATGCTGCTGATACCACTGCTACCATAAAGTTTCATTCCACGGTCCACAGCAAGAATTTCCATCTCATAGAGCTTGGTCTCTATGTAATCAAGTCTACCAGTTAAAAGTACTACACCACTGGTTGGGTGAATAGCAAACATGTCTGTTCGGTCTTTAAAACTATAGTAAAATTCTCCATTGGTTCCTATGTCTGCATCTGTGGCACTGACTCTTGCAATACTGGTCCTTATGGCTGTGTTTTCAGGTAAAGAAACACTGTATGAGGTGGGTGAAAATAATGGTCTCAAGTCATTTGTATCCAGCACTTGCACCCTGACCTTTGTTCGTGCTTCAGCATTAGTATTTTTTTCAACTGCTTTGACTATTAATGTGTAATGGTCTTTCACTTCTCTATTGAGAATAGCTGTATTTCCTCCTTTGGTCCTTATTCTTAGAAAGCAAAAGTCACCAAGAACGTACTCTTCAGCTTTGAACAGGTTTTCATTGTCTCCTGAGACAATTTTGTATCTTAATTCCCACAATGGATTTGTAATGTAAATACCCATCTTTACAGGATGCCCAACGTAGGTTTTGGCTGCAGAGTTTTCATGCACAGTGACATTGTACTGGAAATGTGTAAACTGTATAGGAGTCTGTTCAAGTCTGTGGCTTCCATCACTGTCTCTAAAACGTTGGAGGAGGAGGAGCAGGAGCAAGGTCAAATGTCTCCCCATTGCTTAACTCTCAGGAACCTAAACAGAAGAAAGAAATAAGAATCATTACTTCAGGAAACTAAAACAAGCAAAAAGTATAAATTGTTTTAAACCTTACATTTTAATAAAGTATTTTCCAACTACATGGAATATGAATAAATGCAATGGCTTTAGTTTCAGGGTGTTTTTTTTTTTCTGTTTTCCAGTATAAGTATGAACACTCTTCTAATATGTCTAGAATTACTATTTAACAATTTTTTTTTGTTTTTTTTTCTGTTGTCCAGTATAAGTATGAACACTCTTCTAATATGTCTAGAATTACTATTTAACAATTTTTTTTTTATTTGAATGATTTGGGTGCATGTTTTTCATATTTGAATGACTTAAAACTCATAATGAACATCAAATAAAAGACTTCCAATTATGACAAATAAATTGTATTCTCACACTTAAATCTTCAAGGCAAATAGAAGCAATTGTTAAAAAGGTACATAATGAACATTGCTCATGTTTACTTATACATAATGAATTAATTAAATAATCAAAAGCTCACAAACATAATGCTACTACAGTATTGTGAGTATGCAAATCTTCTTCTTTTTTTTTTTTTTGTCTTTTGTCTTTTTTCCGTGTCCGGCAACAGATCGCAACCCTCAGTGTCGCCCCCGCACCGGACCGGGGACCGGCAACGGGATCACAACCCTCGGTGCTGCTCCCGCGCCTCGCTCAGCCAGCGAGTGGGAACCGGTCTGGAGTATGCAAATCTTCTAACAACTAATTTAGAAATTTAAAAAAAACACCTCAACAGAGGTTTTACATGACCTCCCATATGATAGGTTATAATCTCTTTTCAAAGTTTATCTTGAAATTATATTATTTCTTCATAAGAATGAAGCTCACTACCTATATAACGTAAGGGTTTACTATATTGCTTAGCATTTTAAAATAATTATATCAAGTTTGATACTGAGATAATTTTTGAACCACCAATATGAGCCCTCCCACACACACACACAAAAAAAATCCACAGAGTTTTTCCTAAGTCAACAAAGCAAATCTCATCAACTACATCAATGTTTTAACACCCTCATGTTTACTTATACATAATGAATTAATTAAATAATCAAAAGCTCACAAACATAATGCTACTACAGTATTGTGAGTATGCAAATCTTCTTTTTTTTTTTTTTTGTCTTTTGTCTTTTTTCCGTGTCCGGCAACAGATCGCAACC